AAATATTTCATTCGCAAGGCAATCGATCCTTTAAAGTACCACCACTGTTTTTCTCACCACTCGAAAATATTTTATTGATAAAACAACAATTTTTCAATTTTAACTAACATTAATGTCACTTTCTATCGATAGCGCTGATAATGACATCAAACGGCGTGGATCAGTGGCGCAATCAGTTTCCAAGGAGTAATTCGATAATGATAATTGGTTGATCCAAAAAGTAAAAAAGTTGTTTCGGGGTCCCTTAATGACGAGATCGGGGCCCCAGGGGTCGTTGGAGGGGTCAGGCCGCGCAAAAATAACAATCAATCGGACGGAGGGGGCGATTGAGAGGCGGCCAATTACGCGGTGGCGGCGGTGCCTCTGCTGCGGTTTTGCCCCGGAGGGACGAGGACGAGCAAGACAGCTTCCTTACCCGCCTTTAATTCACCTCGAACGCTCTTTTCCTGGCCCACCTCTCATCATCAACCCAACAACTCCCTCGCTTTATTATATAAAAGTTAAAATTCCGCTCGATCTTGCGGCAAACCGCTTCGACCTCGCTCCTCCTCCCCCTCCTCCTTGTCCGCCATTTTTCCTCTTTGCCGCCGATCTTTCTTACCGCGAGACTCATATAGGGTGATTCTGGTAACAGAGTGTTTCTAGTCTAGTTAAATAATTAAATAATTAAAAAACTTAAAAATTAAATGAAACAAAAAAAACTACAGCTAGGGTTTTTCAGATGGCGCTCGTATCCGCTTGGTAATAAAACTCGCTCGAGGAAGATTTTTTTTGATATCTTTCCCTGTTTTTCACACGAGAATTGAGATTCATACAGAGTGGTTCTGATCTAATTGGATAATTATTAAATATTTTGATAAAATCCATATAATTCGTGTCCAAGATATTTTCATTAATTACAAAAAAAACTACAGCTAGGGTTTTTCAGATGGCGCTCGTATCCGCCTGGTAATAAAACTCGCTCGAGGAAGGAGATTCTTTTTGAGATCTTTCTCTCTTTTTCACACGAGAAGCGAGAGTGATTCTGATCTAATTGGATAATTATTAAATATTTTGATAAAATCCATATAATTCGTGTCCAAGATATTTTCATTAATTACAAAAAAAACTATAGCTAGGATTTTTCAAATGGCGCTCGTATCCGCTTGGTAATAAAACTCGCTCGAGGAAGACGAAAAACGGTAAAACTGTCGGA